CATGAAGAACTCATTGGAGAGTAAAGGGTACTCATTGGCTGCTTTAAATTTGGCCAATTTTTCTCCTTCTGCTTGAATTTCAATGTCAAGAACCTTTCCCATGTCAAGCGCTGCTTGTTTAGCATTTCCCTCAATAATAGCAGTGTAACGCCCTGTTTCCGGCATCTTCATTCGCCAATAATAGGTGAGAAGAGCTGGAAGAGCTCCAAGCATCAATACTATTCGCCAAACATAATCTGCCTCAGGTTCCGTGGAGAAAACTTCATCCACATTAAACGCTTTACCCGCGTAATTCATAAGAAAGATTTTCGAAACAGTCATTGAAACAAGGCCGGCAAATACGATCCCAACGCCTTGCATAGCAAAAACTGCAGCAATAAACGCCCCACGAGTTCTCTTATTTGCATATTCGGACATGATTGTGGCAGAAAGAGGATAATCTCCTCCAATGCCAAATCCAAGCCAGAATCTGAAGAAACAGAGTGTCCCCATTACAATTTTTTTGCTATACCCGAATGACAAACCAGAGCAAAGTGCACAAATGACCATGAGGATTAAAGTGAGTCCATAAACTTTCTTTTGGCCAAGTTTGTCTCCGAGCCAACCAAACACGAGCTGGCCAGTTAAAGTACCAACCAAAGCGACTCCAACTACCCAATTATTAACAGGATGAGGCAGTTTTCCAGGGGCGTGCGTAGCAGGATCGTAGTAATAAAGACGGCCTAAGAGTTTGGAGACAGTGGTGATACAGAAGAGATCGTAGGCATCTGTGAAAAAACCCATTCCAGCAATGATAACGGCAGTGACATGGTACCATTGGGTTCGTGCTGTGTCAAGTGCATTGAGAACTGTAAGATTGTTTGAGGCCATGTTTGCTTTTTACTGCAAATTTAGGCTGTGTTTTCATGGTATTGTTTTGGTGTATGTAACTCGCATATATAGACTCAGCGCACAATGTGAATTAAATGACGTTTAATCCTAAGCGTTCAGTGGCTACAACAAGAAATTGGGGATAAGTATCCACAGGATATCTTCTTCTTTGCTTAAATCAAGCATATGCTTCAATCAAAAATAACCTAGGACAAAAAGTGCGCATGCTTATGCTTTATATGACAACTTTTTCTTGTTAGTCGATGTCAAAAAAAAAAATACAAATTTATATACTTGAAATAATTTAACTTTAAACTTCTTAGTTTACTTTAATAACACATTTTTATAGTCATGACATATTTAAAATTATAAAACTTTTTCTTTATTTATTAAACTCATCTATATCTATATTATATTAAAAGTGAGAATCCCATAACTTAAAAGCTGAATTACCAAAATATCCTTCTAAAAGAAATTATTTTATTAGTATAAAATAAATAAAAACATCAAATTTATTCGAAAAGATACAACCCTTCAGATTAGTTACTACGTAATGTTTAAACTGCTTCTTAACTGAATTCCTAGGTACTCTCTAATTAATTTATATTTATACTACTCTTCAGATAATAAGTCATCCAAGTATGATCGTGCCTCTTTGAAACCAAATACAAGATAATGGCCTTCCATGAGATAGAGAAAAAGGGATTAAAAGCAAAATGCAAAATTGCTCTACGAGTACAATACAAAACAGTAGTTTTGCTCTTAGGGAACTAAAAAAATATGAATATTAACATATCAAATTTGATAATGCAATTCTAAAAAGATGAAGTCACGGAATGGGAGTAGAGGAACTGAAAAGAAGTTTAAGAGGATGAAGGAATGAGAATAGTGATGCGTCATTACAAACAGAGATACTACGAAGCGGCATTGAATATGTCAAAAGACACGACTCTAAAGAGTCAAACTGTGAGAAGGTGTCGCGTGAATTGGCAAGGACTATATTCTGTCAGGCCCTAATTTGGACATATTAGAACAGTTTGATAACAAAAAATGGGTTTTATTTTTTTCACTCAACTTATAATTTATTTGTTGTTTTTTTCCCTTAATATTTTATGAAATACAACTTTTAAAGATGTTATGGTGGATGATCGCCATCTCATACTTTTTATTGTGTCTTGTATAAATGCTATGATTAGAAACAAGAAAGGCTATAATAGTTGTTCCTTTTGACATATGAATCCGTTTATTGTCATACAATTTACAGTTATGTGAAAGATTATAGTTTCAAGGTTAGTAAGACGTAGATTAGGCTTCATTATTATTTGAACATATTTTTGAGATTATGAATTAAATTAGGGTTACATTAGACATAATTTAAAGGTTGGTGACCTTTTATTATAAATTTAAAATCTCTTACATTAGATGTAGATTTATCATGTTTCTCTAAATAGTTAATGTTTTCATTAATAATTAAATTTTAAAGAAATCATTTAGTTGTTTAGCCATTAGGAATTTTTCAAGTACTTAGTTATTTTATTAAACAACACAACTCTTGAGAGAGAAAAGATACAGGTTTTTTTTCTTTCTATTTATAGTAATACAATTATTAAATAATACTGCTATATATAACAACTCGATGTAATTTTACTATAGGTGTTTATGAACTAAGAAATTAGTATTGATTTATGATGATGATAATAACTTATTTTTTATCTATCAGTTGTACGTACTGAACATTAAGAAAATTAAACGTAAGGGAGAATAAAATTAAAAGTGTCTAACTTTTTTATATCGAACAAAAATAATTGGGTGACAAAAAATGAACGAAATAGTTAATAAGCTCTATTGAGTCATGTTTATTATTTGCAATACATCTACATATTCAAACTCAAATTTCGAAAGACACACGTTCAAACTCATGAAAAATCTTGTCTTCTGAAAGAGGTAGTTTTTGTGCTCCTTATTTATTTATTTAAATAAATAAAAGGGTCTTGATCCTCCTTAATCAGTACTCTAGCACTTGAATAATTACTACATTTTAAATAAACTTTATTTATGAGCAAATAAAGAATACTATGCTGAATTAGCACCAAATAAAAAATCCAATATAGGTATATATAAATCTAACTCTACATTAAATCTAAATCAATATTTATGTTATTATAAAAGTACGAACCCCTAAACAAAAATACTAGAAATCTAATTATCCTTCTAAATAACCTAAATGTCTTATTTATAGAATAAATAAAAATATCGACCGCACAAACATGAGCTTCAAATCATATTATTTCCTCGCTTATTTCCTTGTTTACTTGATCGTTAATGTAAGCTTTGGACCAGAAAATAGAATTATGGGTAGAGGTATAGAGCGTGAGCATAATCCAACGGATCGGCAATCAAAGCCCTCAGTGAAGTGATAGGGACATTGAGCTTGTTGGAAAAATCACATGTATCTATTTAAATTTGGATCGTTCCTTTTCGTAGGTTCAGACAATATTTAATTATCCAGACATCGACAAACAAGTTTCTATACGAAGATTCACACTGATTATCACAGTAACTGGTACCTTATTCTTTCGTGTATAAAAGCTTATAGATATTAGAAATATAACTTTATAATACTGTGTGATCATAACTCGACACCCACGTGCAATGCACATGTCGAGAAACTATTATCCTAAAAAATGAAAGGAGGAGTAATAAATTAAGCTTCTTGGTGATCATTACGAGAGACAGCTACAACGTCTAAACCTGCTTGATCTTCATAATGACCACTAGCTAGTATTAAACAAGCTTTAACATTTGTATTTGTTTCGGACAAAGTAGTACCACATATTAGGGGACAAATGCTTTTGGTTGTTATATAGTGGATTACTATTTGGTTTTCCAGGATGTATACGGTCAAAATCGGACTTGCCCTTTTTGTATGATTAATCAAAATCGGGGTGTGACAGACCAAAGTTTGACTCCATGTCATACCGGACCGTGACACGAAGTTAGATTGCCAAGCTCGTGACTCAGGGACCGATCGAGATCGAGACTAGCCAAGATCGAGATCAAGTGGGATAGAGATCGAGCAATAGCGAAGGAAGACCACCGAGCCAAATAACGGAAAGCCAAGATAATCATGATCGGGCGAGGATCACGGCGGGAATCTTGGCACGTATCAAGAAGAGGCCGATTAATCAGCTAATCATGAGATTTCTTACTGTAATTAGGATTGTATTACAAGTAGGACTACCGTACTATATAAAGGGGGTCTGATCATTTGTAAAAGGGATCATATTCATGTTACATAAAGCAATATACCATCTTCTTAAGCTCCCAATACTCTGTTATGTTTTTCATATTTTCCAGTAAAATACTTGTTTGATTCGAAGGCGACCTAGATCGAGGATCAAAGCTATACATCTCATTTAATCTCAATATCAATTTAATTTTTCTCTCAGTTTGTGCCAAGTAAAATTACGTGTCCTTAAAACCACATTATAAATTCAATTGTTATCCGTTTTTAGGGTAAATAATTTGGCGCCCACCGTGGGGCTAAGGATAATAATGAGTGCTTGGTACAACTTTTCATAACATACACTATTTTACACTTGTTCTTTGAAGTATCTTTGAATACATGATTAAAAAATGTCAAACTCTCAATCAACACCTCAACACATTGACAATGATCTCGGCCACCACGGCGAAAATGAGAACATTGCACCAGGAAACGTTGTACCCCCGGCGGGCCTCGATGGAGTTCCGGTAGATCCAATCGACGTCAGTTCGCATGTAGCCATCAATGGAAATTTGGATATCGATCCTGAAAGCAATGTTCGTGGGGGTACCCGATCAGCTACTCAGAATGCTCATAGAGGTGAAGATGGCGGGATCAATATGGGGGTGATCTTCGAAATGTTGCAGGCCTAACATGCAGCAATAGATCAACTCCAAAATCAAAACCACATGCCAAGCAGGGTCGAACTCGAGCCATCCCAGGAAGTTGTACACATGGTCGAATCGGTTTCGAGGAAATTAAATGAGAAAGAATCGGAGACTAATCCTGCTATTATAAAGATGCTCGAAGAACTGACAAAGCGAATTGAGACAAGGGAAAAGAAAATCAAGGAAAATGATAAGAAGGTGGAAACCTATAACACCAGGGTCAACCAAATCCCGAGGGCACCACCGATATTGAAAAAACTAGATTCTAAAAAGTTTGTACAAAAACCTTTCCCCCAAGTGCGGCTCCGAAGCCGATCCCTAAGAAGTTCCATATTCCCGAGATTCCTAAGTATAACGGGACGACTGATCCAAATTAACATTTCACCTCATACACGTGCGCCATCAAAGGAAATTACTTGGAAGATAACGAGATTAAATCCGCATTGCTGAAGAAATTTGGGGAGACTCTATCGAAGGGTGATATGATATGGTATCATAATTTACTGCCTAATTCTATTGACTCGTTTCCTATGCTTGAAGATTCTTTTGTAAAGGCACAAGCTGAAGCCATTAAGGTCGCAACAAGAAAGTCGGACCTTTTAAAGGTACGACAGAAGGACAACGAGATGCTCAGAGAATTTGTATCTCAGCTGCAAATAGAACGAATGCATTTTCCACTGGTCGCCGACGATTGGTCTATTCAAGCTTTCACTCAAGGTCTCAACGTTCGAAGTTCCATAGCTTCACAGTAGTTGAACCAGAATTTGATCGTATCCAGCTGTCACTTGGGCCGATGTACATAATCGGTATCAGTCGAAGATTAGGGTCGAGGATGATCAATCGGTGGATCCTTCTAGGTCCATTTATCCTAACTGGCTCGTGGATAGAATCACGAGGGAATCAATCGAGAATCAAGGTCGAATAGAGATTGATATCAATCGTATAATGGAGACCGTAGAGGCAGCGGATCTAGACGAAACCCTACACAGAGAGAGAGGAGGAATGAACGAGGTTAAATGTCACGACCCCAGTTCACCCTCCGTGAACTATCGTGACGGCAACTAGTCTCTACGACTAGGTAAGTCTAACA